AAAAAAAAAAAAAAAAAAAAAAAAGATCAGTCGCTGACAAGAGTTCAAATCCTGCTGGAACAAAAAATAGAAAGAAGAAGAAGAAGTTGTCCTTCGGAACATCTGTTAAAATTGGAACGATACAGAGAAGATAAGCATCGCCCCTGCGCAAGGATGACAAGCATAAATCGAGAAATGGTTAAAAAAAAAAAAACAAGAAGAAGACAGGCCCTGCTAAGAGAAAATAAATTAAAATGATTAAATATTAAACAATAATTATAATTAATAAAATAATTAAAAATATACTAATATACAGAAAGTCAGAAACAGAAACAAAAAGAAAATAGAAAAACTACTAAAACACGACCAAAAGAACCACTACCAACAGGCGTAGCTCGGTTAGTACACCCAATGAACAGTTGAAATACAGACCCAAGTTCGAATCCAGACGCAATCAGATGAACCAAAAAAAAATCAAAATCAAAATCAAAATCAAAAGAACCAAGTACAAGAAAGGAGAACGGACCCAAAGATACAAGGTGCCATGGGCACCAAAGGCCGAACTGTGCGCAAACTGAGCGTCCCACGCCTCCCTTTCATCAGCTTTGAATCCTTAGTAAATAGGCTTCACAGCCTACACATCAGTATTCTGAGCATCACATTACATGATAATAATGCCGATGTGGTCATCCTCATCCTCATCCTCATCATGTTTAGTGTCCCCATCAACATCAGCAACACAAATCCCATCGCCGCCATCATCATCGTTTAGAGACACAGGATCAAAGTTCATCAAACCATACTTACAACGGCACTGTGCCGTGCAGTACGGCACCTGCCTGTGCGCTGTATAAGTAGCGTTTTTTTTTAGTTTTTTTTTTTAGTTTTTTTTTTTTAGTTGTTCTCGCAGATACAGAGTTATTATCAACGAGTGTACTACCTAAGGAACGGATCCCGTTTTAAATATAAATAAAAGCTGTCTTCTCCTCATCTGGGGGACAGCTGTATTTGCTACGCTATTCTCTTCTCTCGCTCACCCGAGAAGGGGTCTTGTGGGGACCGCTATTTTGTAATCCATGGATCAAGGGACGAAAAGGGCCAGGTTCATAGCCTTGGGCCAGATCCATGGGGAAAGTGACCTAGCTCAGTTGGTTTCGCAGGGCCATTCTGGATGGCTTGGGTTCAATCCCCCACTGGTGTTCATCAGCTGAGATAGTTGGCTTGTCCCCTCTGGTCAGCCTTGGCAGGGTCCTGAGTTCGCTCTGAGGCCTTTGCACCTGCCATTCCTCGCGGGGAACCGGCGCTTAGGTTTTTCTTCCTTTCGGTGCTTAGATGTGTAGGTCGATAGCCCGAGGTATAATCGAGAGAAGAATACATGATATATCTTACTATCTTAGTTTAGGGGAAAAAAAAAGAAAAAAAAAAGGTATCGTTGAGGACAGCAGGTTGATACCTGTGTGGAGTACATGCACATCATCAAACCACGTCCTCCCGTCATACCCGCCATAGATCACAATGCTGTCCGTCCGGCCTTCCTGATCCTCTAACCGGACATTCACAGCAGAGTGCCCTCCCCGAGGTGCAGGAATCGCAGCAGCTGTTTGGTCTGCAACCTCTGGTTGCTCTGAAGGGCCACCTTCTTTTCCATGTTGGTTCTCTTGTACATAGGTCCCGGTCCCTGTCGACGCTGTCGTCCCATTCACATTATTCTCTGCCTTATCCAAGTCCCGGTCCCGGTCCCGGTCCCGGTCCCTGTCAACGCTGTTAGACGCGCCTTTAATTTGGGGTCTCCGACAACAGATTTCAACTGCACAGAACATACAGGGTGGCAGTAAAACATGCAAGGAGATAGTTCATCAGATCCTCCTGCTGAAGGAAGGCCTGCGTTCCAATGAATGTGAGTGAAGGTATCATGTTGAGCTGAGTGTCCCCAGGTAATTCATACTTATTCTACTCACGTTCAGCTCGCCAGAGTCATTTCTGAACCTCACAGAGTCATGTATACAGAGTTTTACAGACAGTGAAGAAGGCTACGTCAATCTACAGTCCATCTTCACAATTCCTGATCCACTGCACACGCTTTGCAGGTCTCAAGAAAATAGACGGCCAAAGTCAATCCCTCATGACATTTGTGATTTTTTTTTTAATCGTTGTGGGGTTCGTGATGAAATGGTAAGTGCGCCGTGCGGGCTAATTCGTGTCATATAATTGATGCATAGTCCCTTGCTGCATATGTTGTTCCTCCTCATGGTGAGGACCTCCTTGTTAACTGATGCCAGCTGACGTCAAACAACCCCTCCATCTCCACATTCCGCAACGTTTTCAAGGATGTCCGTCCAGACTCCTTGCCCACTACCGTCTTTACCCGAATAGAACGTATGGCCATAGGAGAAACGGACCTTCGGCCTCGCTTAGACTGAAAGTTGTCCCAAATTCAGCTATAACAACAGTCTATTCTATACGGGTGAAGACGGTAGGTGACCTCCCAATCGATTGTGTTTCCAGAGTATGTCCGCAAAGAAAACAGGGTGAACACAAGACATTTGCAGCGACAAGGCCAATCCAACGTTGAGAAAGGACGTCTGTCAAAGCACTCTGCTTGGGCCAAACCATTTTGCGCTGCGTTCTTGAGATTGTGCTACTTGAGGAGCAAAGAGCCATGCAGACAGCGCTGGCTTGGCCATCTTCAACCCCTGGTGTGTGTTGCGTTACTTTGTGCAGACTTCGCTGCCCACCTTAAACCACCAGTACATTTCCCAGATAAAGAATCAAATACGCGGCTTGCACGTCGGAGCAACTTTCGGGGCTCCGCCTCCGGAGCAAAATGGCTGGCGGGGCCAGCCAAAAGGAGGCCCACGCCGGTTCGTTTTTTTTGGCGTGCAGGGTGTTTCCAGCCCCAGAGAAAAGTGCCTTGGAAGTACCGGTGGTTTCAACTTCAAGCATACGAGTTCAATGGTGTCCGTACTAGGAGTTTGTGCTAGTGAGCGACCGCGTCGTCCACGGATGGGCACAGAACAGCCTGGCTGAGCTAACGCGGGAGCAGTAGATAAGATGGCAGTGTGGGTGACAGCCAAGGATGAGATGGTATGCTGACATAGGGTGCACACAAGCTGGTGGCAGGTAAGTCTCTGTAGATGGACATGAAAGCCACCTTCACAATGCTCGTGCTTTCCTTCCCCATGGAGCAAACATATAGAGATGGGTGAGGAGAAGGGGTAACACTTGTGCTAGGAGCAGCAGCAGGGTGACCAACACGTGCATGCCCTGATGCCTCCCCAAAATAGACGTAAAAGTTGTAGAACGGTAAAAGGAAACACGACCATGGAGGAGGTAAAGGTTTAGCGCTTGCCACGGCAAGAGCAGGGGGATGACCCAGAAGGTGGAGAGAGCTAGTACCACACTCAGTTCTATCCGCACTCCGTGTGGAAATAGCAAAGTCCACACTTGACAAATTGCGCCCCGAAGGCTGCCCATGACCGGTTTATCCCATGCGATTGGAGCAAGGTTAACACAATTCTGTAACTTCACATTCCCCAAGTTCCAGCGTTTCTGTTTCATTTTGCCTGAATTCATCGAAGTTCAGCTAGATGCCTGACCATTGGGCTATATCTAGGTCTTTGTTAGGAAATCTGATGGTCAAGATTGTTAGATCGAATGATCAAAATTGACTGCAGAAGTCCAGATAATATTTGAAGGCTTTCAAAGCCTAGAGGCCCTAGACATAGGCATAGCTCGGTGGGGCCTGCCCCTTAGGCCCACTAACACAAAAGCCTCAGGGACAGAAGGCTAATTTTTACTATTTTTTAATTTTTTTAGTAATTTCTTTGAACTACCAGCACTCCTGAGCCGCGTTTTCCTGAAGCTCGAAAACGCCCTGCGCGCCAAAAAATTACGAACTGGTACAGGCCACCTTTTGGCTGGTGCCGCCAACCGTTTTGCTCTGGCATCCATTTTGTTCTGGCAGCCAAACCCCGACAGTTAGTGGCATGCATGCAGCCGTGTCGGAGAAAAAAAGGCTAGGAAACGGGCTGGTGGTTTAAACTTTAAATGATATATATGCGAGTCATAATGCGACATGATAGCTGAAGAAGTCACCCGTAACTCCAACGGCTTTATTTTTTTTTCGAGGAATATGCAAGGACAAAACATGTACCTCCAGGGATGCGCCGTAGGCAGGCTCAGGTGCGCATCGTTTCGAAAGTCAATGCACGACCCCACGGCATGGTATGAACCTCGAAGTCACCAGTACTGCCAATGTCTCTGAACAATTTGGCTAACAAGATGGCACTGCAGGTAGTAGTGTAAGTAACTTAGTAATTTGCAATCGAGTGCGTCGACTCGGCATTATTTAGCAAAAACTTTTCCCTAGCTTATTGCACCACAATAGTCAGCCGACCAATGTCGTCTCACACTTTTTTGATTTTTTGTGAACCAAAACTTTTCCCTAGCTCTTTTGCCTCCTGCAGCAGGGATTGAAGTCACCAAGATGGCACCACGTACACTTGTTTGCTTCCTTGCCTCTGCAGCGGATCGTTAGCAAGTTAACAGCAACTGTTTCTTTGTTTGGGAGGGTAAGGACGGCATGCTGATCAGATTGACTCTACGGCCGGCAGTCTCCGCGGCATATTAATGAAGCAGCCTGTTCTTCTCTTACTCATAATCATCACTTAAGGTAAAAAAAAAAAAAAAAGAATGATGACCTGGGTGTAGTGTCAATAATAACCATCCATTACCCAAGCGAAACCAATTCCGCACCCGCCGTACTACCCGGTAAACAAAAGTGAGCAATTCCATTGCGCCAACCACCCCTTTCTTCACTCTGAGAGTCTGAACTCCACTGAAAAAAACAGCCAAAAACACTGGCTTCTTGTTGTGCGCAGGCGTAAACGAGAGAGAGAGAGAGAGAGAGAGAGAGAGAGAGAGAGAGAGAGAGAGAGAGAGAACTTACTACTGCTTTCCTGCCCCCCCTAGACCCCACACTTAGCTCCCTCACACACCACATCCTTACCAAGGTCTCCATCGAAAACAACATCCGCAAACACGGAAGCTCCTTGTTGTCTGCAAGAGAGAAATGATAGAGAATTTCTGAATTTACCATTCGGTCACTGCACCCCACACACAGCTCTCTCATGCATTCGTTTCCACATTCTCATGGTCTTGCTGACAAAGTGGAGAATTTCTTAGTGTTTTTTTTTGAGGGGGGGGCTCCGTTTATTATATTTTTCATTCCGTTTTGCATGCATCTATTTCAATCTGGATTCCAACTCGGGGCCGCATTTCAACAGTTCATGGGGGTACCAACTGAGCTTGGCCCATTTATCATTCCATTCATCTAGTTCCATCATCTGGATTCGAACTCAGGTCTGCATGTCAACAGTTCAAGGGCAAGGGTGTATCGGCTGAGACAATTCCTCAAAATTCCTCGAAATTTCGTGAAAAGTTGAAAACAGATCAGGAACACGCACAATACAAGAAAAGAATTTGTGCACCTTCGAGCATGCCTGATCTCCAAGATGGCATGCGCAACGCCGCAATGTCGGCTACTTTCTGGAGCCTCTCGCGATCTTCTTCCACTTGTTCAATCAATTTTTTCAGACTTGTTGCCATGCCCTGTGCTATCGAAAGCTCCGCTTTTGCACAATCAACCTGCTGAGCCATTTTCATGACTTCTTCCTTTGCCTTTCCTTGCCTGCATCACCAAAAAAAAGCAAGGTCATTCATTCAAATGCAATGTCCGCAAATTTGCGCTTTCGGCCTTTCGCAAAATATAAGCTCATTCCTGCAACTCTGAATTCGATATCTTCTTTTTTTGTATCATTAACAGGGGTCCTTGATCCTTTCTTTCCCATTTCAAGGGGGGGGGGGCATCAGTCAAGTT